ATCCTCACAAGCGTCCCAATACCCGGGTGAATAAGGAAAGAAGAGTTTGAGTTTTAGTTGATAAAGGATTTTTTGAATTCAAGAAGATTAAGTATTAGAAGTCCTGTTATGATCAGAAATTGAAAGCAGATGGAGTTCTGTATTGAGGCCTGCTAGAGATTGTGTTTCTAGAAGTTTTTACGTACAGAATTTGAAGGCAAAAGACTTCTGTTTTGGTGCTGTTTCATGGTATGCAGACTTTTAACCGATGGCTCATGCCTCATGGTAACAGGCGCGAGAAATAAAGGACTTTGAGTGTAGGTGAAATTTTTGAGTCCTGGAAGGTTTAATAGTACAGTATTCTGATAACAGAAGGAACCAACTATCTGGTCTATTTCTATTGCATGTTTTGTGGAATTTCATGACTCGTGAATATTGGTTACAGATGGACTAATATGCTTTGAAATGGGATTTAATATTGGTCATAAATGGGCTCAAATTTATAATGCTTTCAAATGGGATTTTATTAAATTCAAATCCTTAGCCCAATTAATGTTGGCTTTTTGCAAAGTGAAGCCATGAAAAGGCCAAGTTCCTCAATGTCAAGTATTAAGTCATGAGAAGTAAATTAATTGGAGCCCCAATTATAATCAAAGAAATTCCAAAGGCCCAACAAGGCAAAGAGTCTATATTCGGTCCTCCAAATTTGATCAAATGAAATCGTGACTTATTCACTCCAAGACATGTTGTCCGTGAACAAGTCCCGAGGGGGCATTTGTAGACAACTAAATTTTGAGCCAATAAAATGACGACAAGTGTCAAAATCCATGTCATAGTCAATTTAATAATTTTCTATTTTATTTGGGAGATTAATCAAATTTTAAATTCCTAAATTAAATAGTTAATTAATTGATTATTTAATATATATTGTTGGCCAATTAAAGAATGCCACGTGTATATTTTAAAGGCTAATTAAAGAATGCCACATGTCATTTTCTTGGAGAGTAAAAATAAATATTTATTTCTTTTAATAATTATTAAAGAGATAAATAAATAGAAATTCATGGACCAATCAGATTGAAATCTTCTTTTCCAAGACTCTCTCTCCTAATTATCTCTTTAAATAATTATTAAGAGATAAATATTGGAAATTATGTACCAATCAAATTGAAGTCTTCTTTTCCAAGACTCTCTCTCCCAACACCTATAAATAGGGACCCTCCCTAAGGTGAAAAAACACAATTCATATTCATAATTCAAGTTCCAAGAGCTCTACAGAATTCTCTCAACAAAATTCAAGTGTTCTTGAAGATCCAAAGGCGTTCTTGAAGATCCGAAGGAAGATTCAAGCGCGTTCAAGTCCAAGACCGACGTTCAATCCGGAAACAAGCTGCCAAGCCTCCAAATTGCGTTATTCAAGTTCAAGTGTTTTGAAGATCCAAAGGCGTTCTTGAAGATCTGAAGGAAGATTCAAGCGCGTTCAAGCCCAAAACTGACGTTCAATCCGGAAACAAGCTGTCAAGCCTCCGAATTACGTTATTAAAGTCCAGACCGGCGTTGAGAAGATCAAAATCAACTTTGCGGCGAAGACCAAGGACTTGTGTTCTTCACGTTCTTGGGAAATCACGACGTTCGATTCGAGATAAAGCTGTCAAGCCCTCGAAGAAGCGTTATTCAAATCCAAATTCAAGACTAGCGGAGATCAAATTGAAGATTCGTCTCCAAAAGTCTCATATCCATTTGAAGATCGTTCTTGAAGAAATTAATCAGAGGAACAATAGAGATTTGTAATCCACTATATTTCTTTTGATCCGTTAAAATCCATTTGTACGAATTTCTCGTGTTTATTAATTCAATAATACGAAATTTTGCGTTACACCTGCAATTACTACTTTCATCAAATAACATATCCTAATTCATTTTTTATGTTACAAAAATTGCAATTATTTACTATACAAACAACAGTGGCCAATGTAAACACAGTCGTAGTTCAAACACCGACAACGTATATATACAAAACTCACATTGTACAAATAAACCAAATTCATCATTCAAACACACCCACAGTGGTCGAATATCCAGGATTTAATTGGCAACTGTGAGGGAAAAAAAATAAATCGATCGTCACTTATTTTACTTTTACCAGTGATAAAACAGGATGCCGAAAACAGGAATAACAAAAACTCCGTGCCTCGCAACGCACCGAACTAAGCGCGCCTGTAATAAAACTGCAACCCATTAGTTAAGAAATTAAGGTTTTACGAACCACTATTGTCGAACAGAGAGGAAAATAGTAGGCAAAAGACAAGTATTACAAAGTACATGACTCGTGTTGGTGTTAGAGGTATTGTACAACAGAACGCACATACCGTGAAGTAGCAGAAGAAAGCAATGATTTTCGGCACTTTAACACATCTCAGGTCTGCTTCGACGGTCTTGGAGCGAAGAGGACGACATGTCCTTATATACTTGGCAAGTTGTAATTTTCTAGTTGGTGGAGGCTATTTTAGTACGAGTTTAGAAATTTCAGGGTAAAAAAGGACTTTTAACAATATACATACTGCTGGGATTGATAATATCTCGACTCCAATACGGGATTAAATAATACCCCATACTCATGATAAAGTTGTTTTAATCTTGGGCTATGTCTAATCGTACGGGCCGGAAACCTGGAAAGCAAACTATGGACTGGGCCATGATTAGGACCTTAATCCTATCTAATCTCCATATCAAACACGGCCTAAGGTGACTTCGAAGTCTAGCTCACGTTATAAAAAGCAACAAAATGGAAATAGAAAAACATGGGAAATACTACGGTCCTGTTATGGAATTACTAGTGCATACCCCGTGCGATGCACATGATACATATAATAAATCAATTATTTCTATAGGACTTGTACGTCTAGACAAAAAAAAAATAGGCTTAGATCATCCATATTTCACATCTTTTAATAAGTAGCGTTTATTTAAGCCAAAAAATTAACATGTTAATTAATATATAATGCCGCTAACACGTCATACTAATATTTATTTGATTTTAGAATACATATTTATTCATTGATATAAGAAAAAACAAAAATTTTATTTATTCTTGTTCACCATATAATACTCAATTATTATTTTATTATAAAATTTATAGTCATATAATGTCATTATTATTATTTATAAAAGTTATAGAAGTAGTCTTCTTTATGTAATGAAATTCAAAATAAAATTTTAAGTATAAATATTTACAAAATACACACACATGTTTTTTAGAATTCAATTTTCTCATAATATTTTTTTAAAAAAAAAATGATTTAGCAATTGCCAAAAAATAAATCTCTTACATAATCAAGAGATTTTTTCTAATTTTCATCCTAAGGCTTTATAATTTATTTAACATACTATGCAATAGAAAAATATTTTACAATAAGTTCATTTTTGAAACATAACAAAAAAAAGTGATAAAAACACTATCATAGTTGACAATAATATACAAATAAATAACATGTCGAAATTTTAAAAAATAACTAATATAATTTTATTATCTAGCCATCAATAAAATCATTTAATGATGTGATCATTATCTTTTAAATGGTAAATAATATTAATTTTTAATAAAATATTAGTTTTATATAATTAAATAAAGGTTAAAAAATATTACTCGACAGATATTAATTATAATGGATATCAGTAAAATCATTGCATAAATTAAAAAAGTTATTTAAGGAAAAAATCATTAAGATCATATTTGTATAGTAAATGTATATATGCAAGCATTTAATGCATATAGTAAAAAATTTCCAAATAAGGTATGCATTAAATGTGCGTTGACTTTTTTTGCTACTATTTTTGGTAAATAGGTTGACTTTTAATATATATATAGATTCTGTCGAGTTTATAACCGTTAGATCATCATGTAACCGTCAGCGATAGTTGATCTAACGTTTACAAACCCCAACGAAATAGTTCCGTAACGGGACCGTAGCATCTCCGAAAATGCATATCAAACAACAAGATTTTCCCTATTTTATGCGCGGTAATATATCTTGAAAGCCAAACTGAAAACACGTAAGTTACGAGTACATGAATAAAATGATATTCTATTATAAATCCCAGTAGGTTAGAGGTATTGTACAATAGAACGCACATACCATGAAGTAGCAGAAGAAAAGCAATGAATTTTGGCACTTCAACACATCTCAGGTCTGCTTCGACGGTCTTGGAGCGAAGAGGACGACATGTCCTTATATACTTGGCAAGTTGTAATTTTCTAGTCGGTGGAGGCTATTTTAGTACGAGTTTAGAAATTTCAGGGTAAAAAAAGACTTTTAACAATATACATACTGCTAGAATTGATAATATCTCGACTCCATACGGGATTAAATAACACCCCATACTCATGATAAAGTTGTTTTAATCTTGGGCTATGTCTAATCGTACGGGCCGAAAACCTGGAAAGCAAATTATGGACTGGGCCATGATTAGGACCTTAATCCTATCTAATCTCCATATCAAACACGGCCTAAGGTGACTTCGAAGTCTAGCTCACGTTATAAAAAGCAACAAAATGGAAATAGAAAAACATGGGAAATACTACGGTCCTGTTAAGGAATTATTCCGTCGGGCTTGTAACCGTTAGATCATCATGTAACCGTCAGCGATAGTTGATCTAACGGTTACAAACCACTACGAAATAGTTCCGTAACGGGACCGTAGCATCTCCGGAAAAGCATATCAAAGAACAAGATTTTCCCTATTTTATGCGCGGTAATATATCTGGAAAGCCAAACTGAAACACGTAAGTTACGGGTACATGAATAAAATGATATTCCATTATAAATCCCAGTATATGCTTCCCTAAATATTACAACAATTCTCTGATTCGTATTTTTTTTTTTTTTTTTTCTCGCCACCAAATTTCTCCGAACACACTCTTACACAAATTTTCATTTCCAGTCAAATCCTGGAAAGGTCTGTAAAAATGAACATTTAAAAAATACATTTTTTAAACTAAAAGCAATCACAAAAACAAGATTTTAGTGTCGGTGTCTCGTAGTTGAGTTTCGAACTGTTACACCATGCAAGAACTTGGTAAATCCGAGGAAACTCAATTTCCGGTCAGTTGGTCTGATCCAATCGTTGAGCAGAGAGTAAGCAGTAGGACCTAAGCTCAACTCCTGTAAATACAAATTTCAGTGCACGGTAAAACTAAAAAGAAACTCGGCAAAAGTACAAAAGATTAGGTCCTATAGACTGAACGTAACACATAAAATAGTCGTGCACTTGATTGAAAATACACTCCTAAGAAAACATGATTTGTCCTCGTAAGACTTGAGACGGGCTTTACAGTAAGCTCAGTATTTACACTAGTTCTTTTAGTGTAACTCACGAGTCTAGTCAAATCCAGTTTCTTTCAGATCTGAATAGGAATAATTGCAAAAGTTTGAGAATAACTAGATTACACATAGCTCCAGTTATTATCCGATATGGACCTCAGAGTCCCCCTGAGGTCCATTCTGACCATACTAATACTAATAACCCCTACTTGAGAAGAAATGAAAATTGTTAAATGTGTATTTGCAATTTTAAAAGATGACTATATTTGAGGTAAAGTAAACAGCCAACGCGATAAAGCTTTTATACAATACTCAAGGGATTTTTTTTCTTTTTATTTTATTTTATTTTTTTAAGTAAGCTTTCATATGGTCATGCAAGAGCTAGGTGCATACCTGTGCCAATTCCTCGACAGAGGTAACACGATTTCCTTCTTGTTCGAAATACCGAAAAGCTGCACCAGCAATGTCCTCCCATTTCTCAAGAGCCTCAAGCTGATAAGTACTTATAGCAGCTGCACAAAATTCTTCGAAATCCATCTTTTTATAGGATAGAGGTTCCATCTTTAAATTTGAAAAACCAAAAAAAATAAAAAAATGATTCTTAGTTTATTTCTGAGGATAGGTAACAAAAACAGAGCCTCCCATAGAATTTTTTTTTTTAAGAAAAATCATTTAACTAAGATGACGTGAAAGAGTTAAAACGATAAATGTATGTGGCAAGAATCGTACATGCACATGAAATAGTAATCACAAAACATATTACAGTTGCAGTTTTCACCAACTTGCAAAACGAGTAGAATAGTTTTCAATAGTAAAATGAGCACAGAAAAAATAGCGGCAGAGTGATATTATGTGATTGAGTCGTCAGAAAAATATATATCACCATATTCAAAATGTCAGTGACTCTTGATTCCTTCATGGCATCAGTTGCATTTCCCATGAGAGCCTGTAAGGTCAGAGGATTAATACAACCCATGTTTTAGCAGGTAACACTATGCACCAGTTAAAATAAATGGAAAAGGAATAATAATAATAGTATTTAATAGTGAAAAACAAAGATAATAATAATAATTACCAATTAAAAGAAACAACGAAACAATACCAACCATTCTGAAATTAGTAAGGGAAACACAACCATCTTTCGGTTCCAGGAGTTGGAATTGAGCTTTAAGGTAGTGGAGCTCATCCTCTGTCAGTGCTTTTGAGATTGCCTAACATAATCAATATGAATTTATCAGAAAAAGGAAAACAAACATTCATCAAAGGGTTAGTAAATGAAGTTCGGAATGTATTATGAGATTATCTAAATACTTCTACAGACAGGCGGTACATGAATGTACAACAAAGGCATACTTTTAAGGCAGCACGTTTCAAAGGAGTGGCTCGAATATATGACTTGATTAATCTGTAGATTGTCACGTCTAACGGTATAGTGCAGTTTAGGCTCCTTAACCATGGATGAGCTGAAAATGATCAAGAGACATTATCAATTACAAAGCTCATTGCCTGGAAACTATCGATGTTGACCAGGAGACTGTAAAACTGAAGTCAGGTGCGCACACAAACACAAGCAACAATAATTAAATAAATCAAAAAATCAAGGATTCAAATTTTTTTTGAAAGACACAAAATCCCCCTGGGGTGCAGCCTAAATACAAAAGAGTCCAACTACCTTTAAGAGTTATTTAAAAAAATAAATAAATAAAAAAAAAAATAAAA